CCCTCTTGTGGCCCCCGGTGCGGGCAGGCGGCGCGGGTGACATGTGCCACTTCTGTTCGCAGCGCCATGGCGCGACACGCCGGCCCCCGGCTGCCCCTGATCGTGAAGAACCTCATCCCAACGCTCAACAGCGTCTTCGACAGCCAGAGGATCACCACCACCGCCTTCTTCGCCGAGGTGAGCAGCGGGTGTCGGGGCCGGGGAGGGGGAAGGCTCAGCGGCGCGGTTGGCTTCCTGTCCGTCCGTCCGTCCGTCTGTCCATCCGGCCAGCCAGCTGTCCACCCGCCCACCCGGCCATCCATCCGTCTGTCTGTCTGCTGCTCCATCCATCTGCCCATCCGTCTATCCTTCTGTCCATCCGTCTGTCTGCCGATCCAGTTGTCCACTTCTCCGTCCATCCCTCTGTCCATCTGTCCGTCTCTCTGCCCATCCGTCTGTCCGTCTGCCTGCTGATCCAGTTGTCCACTTCCCCGTCCATCCCTCTGTCCATCTGTCCATCCCTCTGTCCATCTGTCTGTCTCTCTGCCCATCTGTCCGTCCATCTGTCTGCTGATCCAACTGTCCACTTCTCCATCCATCCCTCTGTCCATCCGTCCACCCCTCTGCCCGTCCGTCTGTCCGTCTGTCTGCCGATCCAGTTGTCCGCTTCCCCGTCCACCCCTCTGTCATCTCGTCCATCTCTCTGCCCGTCCATCTGTCTGCTGATCAAACTGTCCACTTGTCCATCCACCCTTCTGTCCATCTGTCCATCCCTCTGCCCATCCGTCCGTCCGTCTGTCCATCTGTCCATCCCTCTGTCCATTTGTCTGTCTCTCTGCCCATCCATCCGTCCCTCCGTCTGCTGATCCAACTGTCCACTTCTCCGTCCATCCCTCTGTCCATCCATGTCTCTGTCTGCCCATCCGTCCGTCCATCTGCTGATCCATCTGTCTGTCCATCCGTCTATCTGCCCATCCAACTGTCCGTCTGTCTGTCTGTCTGTCTGCTGGTCCCCTGTCTACTTCTCTACCCACCCATCTGCCCAACCATCCGTCTGTCCGTCTGTCCCAGCAACTGTAAGTCTGTCTGGATAGCTGTCCGTCCATCCTTCCATCCATCCATCCATCTGTCCATCTGTCCGTCCATCCGACTGCAATTCTGTCTGTCCAACAGCCTCTCTGTCCGTCTCTCTGTCCCATCCATCCATCTGTACCACCGTCCGTCCATCCGTTCATCTCTCCATCTCCTTGTCCATCAGCCCGTCTGTCCGTCCGTCTGTCCACTCCCCCCCATGTCCCTTTGTCTCTACATCTCTCTGCCCATCTCTGTCTGTCTGTCCGTCCATCCGTACGGCCGTCTCGCCATGCGGCTGTCTTTCCAGTCAGCTGGATAGATGTTTGTCCGTCTGTCCTCCTGCCTATCCGGCCATCCCTCCACCTGTTGATCCATCCCTCCACCCAACTCTCCATCCATCTGTCCATCCTTCTGTCCATCCCTCCATCCACCCATCTCTCCATCCATCTGTCCATCTGTCCATCCGTCCGTCCACACATCTCTCGATCCCTCCGTCCATCTGTTTGTCCCTCCATCTCTCCACCCATCTCTCCATCCATACCTCCATCCATCTGTCCATCCGTCTGTCCATCTCTCCATCCACACCTCCACCCAACTCTCCATCCATCTGTCCATCCGCCTGTCCATCCCTCCACCCATCCCTTCATCCATCTCTCCATCCACCTCTCCATCCATCTGTCCGTCCCTCCACCCATCTCTCCATCCATCTGTCCATCTGTCTGTCCATCTCTCCATCCCTCCATCCATCCGTCCCTCCACCCATCCCTCTGTCCATCCCTCCATCTCTCTGTCCGTCCCTCTAATCATCCCTCCACCCATCTCTCCATCTGTCTCTCCATCCATCTGTCCATCTCTCCATCCCTCCACCTCCTCCATCCACCCGCCCTCCACACACGTGGCCATCACGTCACCCGCCCATGCGTGTGCGCGCGCTACCCCCGGACACGTCGCACGCGTGTGCGAGGACAGGGCTCGGCCCAGGGTGCCACCTCCGAGGTGGGACCCTCAAGGCCTCCCCCCACATGGGGACGTGGCTCATGGGAGGACATCACCGGGCCGGTGGACCTACGTGCCACCTCCCTTTTGGCACCTGACGCCGGTTGCATGTCCCCAATGAGTAACGCCACGGATGTGGGTGAGCGATGGGTGAGGCCACGGCCCGTTGCCAACCCGGCGAGTCGCTTCTGGGTGAGTCAAGGGGGACACCAGGGACATGGGTGCCACTTGTCCTC